ATTTTGTTTTAACGCAGTAAGATTGTTGTCAACATTTCCCAGTTATAATACACTGAGATTTGTATTACGTAATAGCATATTCTGCTTTGTTCCAATTGTTGATACAGAATGAAATTACTAAGTTGATATTATTTTGCATTCAGCAGTGTTTTAGAATGGAATTAATAAGCTTATATCCTAGTTCATCAAAAATGGGGAATGGAGGGAGAGAAGAGGAAGGGAACAGAGACAAGGAAAACAAAACAATTCTGTGGTTTGAGCCTGAAGGCTTACATGCCTCATCACTCAAGGGAGTTAACTTGAGTGAGCAGCCAAAAAATTGCTTCCCTCTACATTATGCCATTCTGACGCAGGGACCTGAAGACACCATGCCTGAGTAACATAAATATCAGCCTTTTCTGCCATCTGCCCCACAGTGGGAATAACAGATGAAATCAGACCAGTTTGCTAAGTGAGCAGAGTGAAAGGGAGCTCCCTACAACTGATTAACTGTGGAAAGATTTTTGAAGTTGTGTATTAGCCATTAAGCAAAAAGGCAAATACACTGCACTTCTAAACCCAGAAAAATTAAGAAATACAGTGAAAGTAGTTCCACAAATAAGTAAACTTCTTCCCTCTCATCATTTGATGAAAATTAGTTAAAAATAAGATTACAGGGGATTTATAAATAATCTTGGGAGTCAGTTGTTAATGAAAAATTATACACAATTCATGATGACGCTTCTTTTCTTTGATGGAAAATAACTGATTCCTTTCAAATCTAGAGACTCAAGTGCTCGTGAGTCTCAGGCCATATGTTGATTCAAGCTTTAGCTGATGAAAATCAGTAGAGTTAATCTAGTTTTAATCCTTAGAATAGCAGAGTAAACCTTTTCAAACACAAGTGAGACAGCTAGAAGATTAATATCAGACATAATTCTGGAGATTCTTCCAAACCAGATGGAATTGGTTAGCATCAACCAGTATCATTTGTACGAGTTTCTACCAAATATGAAAACAGTCAGCATATACAATTCAGTGGTTGAAATCCTTGTGTCTCTGTCCTGTAGCACATTATGCAAGAACAATATGGATAGTGAATATCTAAAAAGTCATGGAGTAATAGATTTATGAGATGTAATAGGGAATGCTTTTAATAAGACATAGGAGTGCAGTTAAGATTTTCAATTTCTAGTATGAAACATCTGAGTTCTAAATTAAAGCTGAAAGCCTGAACACTAAAAATTACAATTCCAGCAGCAATTTCTGAGAGAGAGAGAAAAGGTGAGATGAATTCTTCATAGCAGTTGGAAACTGACACATTTAGCTAATAAACTCCTGAAGCGAGACTTCTTCAGGACTAGAAGAAAGACTCAAAATCTGCAGCTTACCATGTGCAAAGCTGCAAGTTTTATTCACAGAAATTAACATGACTGAATGCTGTTCTGAACTTCTTTTTTATACAGTCATATTTCTTACAGAAGTTACTTGCAATTCATATTAGCTTTCCAGCAAATGTTAGAAATTTCTTAACTATAAACTATGAGAGAGCATAAGCAGAGACTAAACCCTTTCGTTTCTTGAAAAAATGGGTAAAAATCCATTATGAAAGTCAAGCAATTCAGCACAAAAGTATATTGTTAATATCTTCCAATTTCTGCTTTATGTTTAAAACTACCTACAGAAATTTTCATTAAAGATCAATATTTTTTATTTAATAATCCCAAGATTCAGTAACAGCCTAACAAAACACAAAAAAAAATCTGCTGTTTTCACAAAGGTCATATCAAATTTTTCTGAAGTTTTATGCAATAAAGCTTTTAGGCAGCCCTAAGGTTGATTTGAACTATGGGAAAGCACATGACAGAAACTTCCCAGAAAGAAAAATAATTCCCATGAATTCTAAACTTGATTTTGATAAGAACTCTGATTAACTGGAAACTAAAAAAAAAATCTAGAAATCATTTTTCCTTCCAGGCAATATACTTGTCCGTGATGTAGATGGGACAGTTTGAATAACTCCATAATTTCCATTGACCTTTTGGGATAGACTCTTAGAATCACTGGTCATTTAGTCTACCTCCCCCAGCCATGGGTGAGTAGGTCAGGTTCCACTAGATCAGGTTGCTCAAAGCCTCATCTATTCTGGCCTTGAACACTTCCAGGGAAGTAACATCCAAATGTCTGTGGACAGCCTGTCCCAGTGTCTCACCATTTTCATAATAAAGAAACCTTACCTACATCTAATACAAATCTACCCTCTGTCAGTGTAAAAGTGTTGGTCCTTGTCCCAACATTACTGGTCCTACTGAAAATCCTTTCCATATTTTTACAAGACCATTATAAATACTGAGAGGTCATATAATAAGGCCTCCCCAGTGCCTTCTTTTCTCCAGACTGAATAATCACAACTGTCAAATTTTCCTCATAGGGAAAGTGTTCTAGCCCTCAAAATATTTTTGTAGCCCATGTCTTGACCCAATTCAATGGGTCCTTATCTTTCCTGTGCTGAACTTAGTATTCCAGGTGAGGGCTCACAATGGCAGAGGGGTTGAATCACCTCCCTTGCCCTGCTGGTCACTTCTCCTTTCATTTAGCACAGGATAGGATTGTCTTTCTGGGCTATGAGCCCACATTGCTGGGTCATATTTGGGGTTTCATCCACCAGTACCCCTGAATCCTTTGCAAAGCTGCTCTAAATCCAGACTGGTAGTACAGGTGATTGCCTAGTAATGGCACTGGTAGTACAGGTGATTGCCTCAAAACTTCATGAGGTTCACATGGGGCCACTCCTCAAGCCTGTCAATGGATAGCGTCCCATCCCTGAGATATAGCAACTGTACCACTCAGCTATTTACAAACCCAGGGATGGTACACTCAGTCCCACTATGTCACTAATAAAGACATTGAAGAGTACCAGTACAGACATCTGAGAGACATAACTTATTATATATGGCAATTTAGGGGACTATACTGAATATGTTACTTTTTACTGAAATAGGCATCTGTGCTTTTCCTGACAGTGCTTATATACTCAGGGACACATTTCCTATCTCACAACAATTCTGCACTTCGTTCAAAGTATAACCCAGGTATTTCAGCTCAGAAAAATGGAATGGCCTAAAGTTTTACTTATGCTGTGAATGCATGTATTCATAACATTGTTTTCTATTATTGTTCTCAGACAGGAAAAATCCACAGACACACTTGCCTTCCTTGTAACTTCTGCAAGACTTCAAATGGAGCTCGTATATTCACTGAGACATTCCAAGAGCTCTCTGAAGTTTCAAGCTTTCACATCTAATAACTACAAAAGTTATAAAATCATTTGTAGTAAAGTTGTCTTGTTCTCCGGCTTCAATCCACTAACATCTCTCGTCATATGCATTTATGAGGAGAATCATAAGGACCTGGTCAGTTTCTACTTTGACCAACTAACTTCCTACACAAAAGAATGTCAGGGACCACTACTAAAATGGTCCACAAATTACATCTGGACACATCCTGGAAAGCAAACATACTATCTCCACAAGTTCTTCCCTCTCATATATTTTAATACCTAGCTTAAACAATTTATCAAGACCAAAGCAAAATCTATCCTCCTCCCAAAAAATATACAAAAATGTAAAAATTCACTTGTTAATGTTGATTTATCTTCTCTTCAATTGGCTTCTATCTAACCCCAAATTTATTTTAAAATCTGAAGCAGAAAAAGAACTTTTCTCCTTTCTATGAGAAGACGGCTCATCCACCTACAAATACTTTTATCTACACAATATGATGCCAGTAGCAGCTGCTTTTAACTCAAGGGCAAAAATGCTAACACAAAAGCATCTATTTTCCCAGTAAATGCTGGAGTGGGGAACAAAATATCTTTAACACAGGATTTCTATCAGTTTTTTGTTTCGTTAATATATAACTAGTGGTCTTTTTGGTTCTGAATTTTAAAGTCAACATTTTTGTTTGTTCATAGTAAGCTAATTGCTTGTAGATTTTGAAAAATAGATATCACAGTATGCAGGATTTCTACAGCTCTAGTAGGAAACCAGGAGGATGATGGTAGGAAATTCGTCTTTGGCAGACAAGGTAATGAGATTTACAGAGAAAATAGCTGTTGCACAAAAATAACAAAGTAAAACATGACAGAGCAGACAGACAATGAGATATTCTCTATAATGCTCAGGCTACAAACTACGACTTAGAAATCTCAGAAATGTGTATCTGAATCAGAACAATGTATCAGGCTTCTTAAATCAGAACCTCATAATATTTCATTTGGATATCATTCATCTAAAGAACCTTCAGTTCATCTTCTTTACATCACAAAGGAGAAAAATTACAGATTAATTAGCAGAGATGCACAAGTTGTAACATCAAAAAAGCTTTGTAGTGCTGTAGCAGATCAGAAGATGTGCTTCTGTGTTGAAATGATATCTGGTTCTCCTTTCCAAATCAATTCATTTAACAAATCTATTTTCCCTTTCACTACAAACCTTGCCAAGGTATTTTGAGGCACTTTGTAGTTTGTGAAAAAGGTTTACTTCCACCATCCAAACAGGCCAGCCATTTTAAGTGTAATGATCTATAAAGTTTGGACTGAAATCCTCAGGACAAGGAACAGTTTCTATCTTACAGACTGTTGCTTTGGTCGTCTTACAGTTTGGCTTCATTCTTGGTTTCGCTTTCCCTTTTTGTAACACAAAAAAATCTGTGCAAGATCAATTTTCCTGATCACTGGAAGTTCATTTGAATCTTCCCCAAGGTATCTGGACCGTTCCTAGTAGAAGTGTAAAAAGTACACAGTCTTAGTTTAGGTATTTCTGATCTTTAAAAATCTGAACCACGCTTCTGTAAATATAAAGCAACAAGAAAACATCACTGAACCAAACCATAGTTTTGCTGGATTTTTAAAATATTTAAAAATGGAAGCACCTTCTTCTGCAAGTGTTCTACCTATCAAACACAGCAGATCAAGACAACTCCCCCCAAAAAAATTATTTTTAATAAAAAAACAGATTAAGTCCTGTTGTACTTCTCCTTTTTATTTTAACAATTAAGCTGTAGGCAAATGACTTGTAGTGCTTTTGTTGTACAACCATGAGTAGTATAAAAATCACTTTTAAGCAAAGCATGCATTATTCTAAGAGTTAAAACTTTAAAAAAACACCAAGAAAATCTGAAAAGTTCAGTTGAGGTTATGGGAATGCGCAGTCCTATGAAATGCATGATAAGCTTCTGTATAAACTGCAATTCACTTTGCAAAGCAGCTTTTCATTTCCTCGAAATTAGCCTCAGGCACAGGGATCCATTCCTCTTTTGCTGTTTCAATGCAATTTCAGTTCCCATTCTCCCTCAGACTGTATGGAATAATCCACAACAATTTTCCAGCAACAATGCAGCAAACAAGCATGCATACAGTATTGTGCATGCATGTGTACACAGATATACACAGCAGCTCTGCTAAATAAACACAAAGAAAAGGTAACAGTTATTTATGTCACACTTGAATTCAGTCCATGCAGTAAGTTATAGTAGCAGAATCAAGTATGTGAAAAATTGTCAGTAATTTTTGACATTAATTAAAAGGGATTTGACACATTTGTTCACTATTCTGGGAGGAGGCAGAAGAAATAAAAGAGGGAGATATATGTCACATAAGAGGTCCTTCCACTGATAGTAATATTTCCATTTTTTTCTTAACTCTTTTGCACATAGAGAAATAAGAGAAAGCCATTAAATTTGAGAGGCAAGACAAAAGTTTTCTTCAATTTTCTATTGCAAAGCCTTTGTGTGTTAAACATATTCACCAACAAAGGATATAATGGCTATCTAACAAGGTCATATAATTCAGTAGCCAGAATAAAAATTAGCCTTGAGGAATAGTTTGAAGCCTGTAAACAAAGGAAAATAAATGTTTTATTATGAAATGCCCATACATGACATAAATGACAGCTATCTACAGTGACACTACGAGTCTGATCATGATACGCTGGGATTGTCATATTAATGATGTAATAAGATATATTAGGACATGTTTACATTAGCATTTTATATGGTGCCTTTTAAAAAACAAATTTCATTATTTCCTTTTAGTGTAATTTATTTCATGGTTCAGGGTAGTCTGGAAGTGCTTGAACTATGCTGCCTTATCCCAGTGATTAACAATCTCTCAATCATAAATTCCTTGCTTTGTGAAAAAAAAATGTATTTTGCTGTGAATATTTTAAATGAGCCTTTGTAGAAATTGACCAGTGCCTCATAATGTTCCTGTTCCCAGAGTTTTGGTAGTGTATTAAGCCAGTTATTATTGTACCTTCAAGTATACCTAGAAGGTGACCCACAGTACAGAGCTGCTATTACTGTTCAGGACTGAAAAAAGCATCTGTGGATATCTCTTTCTCTCCTAAAAGCATCTTTTTCTGATTTGATGCTCATGGTACAGTCACTTCAGAGGTAATTACAGTGTACTGAAATTGCCTAATTTGTACTCTTGCAGTACAGAAAAAAAAAAAAAAATAAACTTGTATAAAGAAGATTCAACATGACAGCACAAAGACTAATATAGACAATTTCTCTACCATTAAGCCAGAAATGCAATGCAAAATGTTGTAACTGTAAAAAAATTAAAAAACAAGTTTTCTCACTATTCATTTGTCGCTTCATGTCCTCTATGTGGACTAAGGATTACATTTGTTCCTCCATGAAGACTAATGATTCGAAAGCACATAATACTTAATCCTATCTAAAACATGTCCAGAGCTCTAACAACCTCTTCTTACCTCTTCCTGATTTTGCAGGTATTTGTTGTCACTGACACTGACTATACCTATCATTAAATATTATCATCAGAAGAACAGTTTCTTTCATATTCTGCTAAATAATCATGGTTCTCAGTAATTCCCTTTCTTTATTTTAGGCCTTTTATTTAAATAAAGTTTATTTTCTTCTATTGTCTTTATTATTGCAAGCATTAATGACTTAAGTAGTAAAGCATGGGCTGGAAAATACCTTACAAAAACAAAAGCAAAATAACTTCTACTTTATACCATCTTTTTATAGATTCTTTATAAGATTATTTGCCTAGTAGCATTCATCCTTTCTAAAATGCGTTTAATGAAAACAGAAAAATCCTTGTAACACTGTACAGTGGTGGCTTCTTAATGCATGTATTTGCAGCACAAGAAAAATCTGATTAATGAAAGCATTCCTTTAAGTTTCTACATGATTTTTGAAAAAAATCTTCATTAGTACTTGAACCAAGAATCTCAATAGATTCTTATAAGTCACGAAATAGCAAGATGCATAGTTTCCTTCCTAGCCCTTCAGCCATAAACAGAACTACTGACATGATTTCAGAATGCTCTACTATAAAGGGTCTTTTTTTAAGAATGCCTTTGAATAAAGGCAGAATACAACAGCTATATAGGAGTCCTGGGATTTTGTAAGCAGCATTTTAACAGCATGTTGCCCATATTCTCATGCTGTGAACATGTTCATAGCAGTTCCATGAAAGTTCCAGGACTGCTGGTGTGGCATCTGTTCACTACCAACAAAGACTTGGATATTACACAAAAGCCTGTTTTCTATTCATTGGCTACCTTTTTACAAACACTGTACTTCTTTTGCAACAGGATAATATTTTATCTGTGTTTTCTCATGTTAAAAGACAAGCACACTCCTTAAGAATATATATCTTTATTATATTAGCAGACATTTATCAGATTAGAGCTACATTTATCAGACTAGAGCTACTCTGAGGATAAATAGTGACTCTTAAGGCTTATCTGTATCCAAAAATGTGTAGATGTTTCCGGAGATGTTAACAAGTCATAACCTTAGAACAAAATGCCTTTCATTCAGTGTAACTGAACTCCTAATACCCCTCTTCTCAAAGTGGCAATTACATGTCAATTCACAATTCAAAACATTTAGACGGATCTGGACATTTAACATCTCAGACCTTGGCCAGTGAGGAAGGGTGGGTATCTCTTGGTTCCACATACAGATTCAGATCTTGGCTTTTGTAGATCCCCAATTTCAGTGGAGCATTCATGAGAAATATTTTTAACAAAAATCATGGTGCTACTTCAGCTGAATGCATCATTTGCTCCAAATAATTTAGTTTTATTTTTGTTTGGATGTGGTTACTTTATCAATTAAGCCTACTTAATGAGCTGGTTCAGGCAGGTGCACAGTCTGCTGATTACATTCGTTAAGGTCTGATTAGTGAGAGATGCCTCTGCCCAAATTAAGGTGAAAATGAGACCATATACCTGAAGTCAATAATACAGATTTTATTTAAGCATGAATGTGAGGTTAAGAGATTGAAAGAAATAGAACTGGGAGGTATATGGGTATAAGTGTGTGTGAGAGAGAAAGGGAGAAAGAGATCAAGATAGTCACCATTCATAGATCCAGCAGCATCCCATCGGGCCTTCTTTATCCTGAACTTCTCAGTAGTTGAGTCCTGAGGCAGTTTGAAACTTTTCACTATTTATACACCTAGGCAAACAAAAAATCAATGCTCATTGTATACACAGTTCACTTATTCTATTAGTTAAATGATGCCCTCACTTCTGATGCTAATTGTCCCATGCTCAGTTTCTCTACTTTTGAGTCAATGGGTTTCTTCAGTTGGTTGGTTGTGATCTTTCCCTGCTGGAATTACATTTTATCCAGTCCAAGTGGGTTTCAGCACAGTTGCTGAGTTGGCTTTCTTTGTCCATTTTCAGTGATACATTGCTCTCCCCCAGTTTTGTTAACCTCCCCTTAGGTCTGAAATAACACCCAGACAATAGTATCATTTTTATCTTATCTCAAAGTCCTGATATGGGGGCTTCTTTTACTGTCCAAGTTCCAGCTACCCAAGCAGCTATGTTTAGGTGGGCTTTGATGTTCATTGATGGTTGCAGATATCATCTGTCCCATAACTTGGGGTAATCTTTGACAGTGATATGTTTACAAGCAGTTACTTTACACAGTTTGCCATAGTGGGAATTTCTGCCCAGATGTGTTAACCAGGATGAGCTAACCAGATCTGGCCAGGCCTGGAGTTCACACTATCCTGTCAATCCCTTCTTGATTATGGCAAAGCTTTTCTGTGGCCTTACGAGTGTTTGAGACAGGCAATTTAAACGCCTTAGAGCATTGCAAAACCTCTAGACCTCTTCCTTGGTCTCTTTTGAGAAAGAACAAGCTGTACAAGCTGATAAAACATATGACTTGAGCACAGCCAGCAGAGCAGGGTATGCCAGGACAACTCCCAGACAGAGGGTATGGATATGGCTATGGCTATGGCTATGGACATGGACATGGACATGGATATGGATATGGATATGGATATGGATATGGATATGGATATGGATATGGATATGGATATGGACAGGAGAAGTACGGCTTTCTCTTCTTAGGACAGTCTCGCAATACTGTTTTAATAGATCTCAAGTTATTTTTTAATGACATGAAGAGAAAGTGGGTGTCCAGTTATATTCCTTCCCTCCCCCCTACCCCAGCTACGTAGATGTAGAAGAAAAAGTCTTCAGAGACTTTAAAAGAATAAACATCTGCACAACCATATAAACATGGTGCTCACAAGCATATACATACACATCCTCTGCATGTGGTGAGGCAGATGTTTCTCTCCAGCATTGTAAATACCAGAATGGTAGAGTAGCATAGGTAGGGTAAATTGTTTCATTTTCTTCCTCTTTCATGTAAATTCTGGTTGCTGCAGACTTCAGTTGAAGACAGCAAGGCAGCTAATCTAGGTACATTTGTCACAGGCAACCTGCCTGAGTGCTCTCAGACTAGGAGACAATCAGGTTAAAGGATCCTGTACATTCATACTGAGGTTATTGACTGCAATTGTTCATGGATTTCAAGAAATAAGATTACCCATAATCAGATAGTAACATTTGACATGCTACACATTATTAAGAAGTCATTGTAAAATTGTTATGCAAATTATAGATTCACAAGTAAGAGTGAAAAGATTAGGATAACCAAAGAATTGCATGGTGTTATGAAATGGCTGTACTACTGTTGCCAATTACACACCAATCTAGCTTTTGAATGGGATTACTTTCTGAATAGGAACTCTAGCAATTCCACTAGACATCATTAAACCAGTGGTAGGTTCTGTGTACAATCCTTTGTAAAAATTCTAAAATACAATTGCACTTTCATGCTTCCTTTTTTTTTTTTAACATGAAAGACATTCACCAGCCATTTTATGCAGTATTGTAGCGAATAGTTACATAGAAGAAAATAAAAATAATGCATTCTAGGATGTACACTGAAGACAGGCGTAATTTCAAAAGAATAACATTGTTAGATAATTGTTAAACAGCTGATTATCTCAATGTCATACTTAATTTTCATATGCTTCCTTCTAACTTGCTCATCCTCTGATATTGTTCAAATAATAGTACTTGCTTATATTACAATGGTATCATATGTGTATCCTGCACTTCTCTGCAATTCCATATTCACAGTGTTTTGTATAATGATTATAACATTACATGGTGTGAAATATGTGCAGACTGATATCTATTCCTTTGAAAAGCAAACCCGAGAAACACCAAGTAATGTGTTTGCCGATGTTCCTGCTGTTGCAGTCTGATTTGGCTCAATCACATGACAAGAAGCAGTCCAAAAACCTAATTTAATTGTTAAACTAAATGCATTTCTTGGTGGTTAATTGAAGCCATCACCCTTTACCATCGCTAGAGCCCAAAGGAAGTGAATGGCCACCATGTCCAGCACCCTTTGGCCCTGCAGTGATACAGAGCTGGTTGCCACTGCAATAGCCGCCCCTGCCCATGGTGTGTCCCTGCCTGGCTCCTGCATCCTCTTGGGATGATGTCCCTGCCCACACCCGATGCAGCTGTGCACCCCAGCTGCTTTTGTTGCCATGTGGATTGGAAAAAGTAAAAAAAAAAAGAGAAAAACCAAAACCCAAGCCTCATTAAAAGGTTAAAACCCAGAGTCTCTAATGTAGCCATTTTATTTTCTGCAAGGCATATGGTTTCTGTCATAATGACCTTGACATTCAATTCTATAATTTGCCCTTGGGTAAGAGAATTTGCAAAGGCATATTCCCTTTAAGTTCAACATCTTCCACTGCAAATGCGATTTGTCTTCAAAATCAGCAGCAAATCAAATTCTCTGTCTCACCACAGCTGCTTGTGTGCATTTAATGGATTATTGATTTGGAAATCTAAAATCTGCAAATGCAAAACTAGCCAATTAAACTTAGGAAAAGCTTCACACATCAGCTGATCTCCCCTGCTGCATCCAGGCTAATGGTACATACTCACATGACTGTGATCTACTCTGGAAAATGAGGAATGCCTGTGATCAGTAATAATGCAATTACCCAACATTAAAAAAATACAGTCTTTCTGATCTAACTAGGCTTCCACAGGTATCGGTGGTAATTTTAAAATTTATTTTTGTGGTACAAAGTTGAACACCATGTCTTCTGTTTTTTAATCCTCACACCTTGAAATCAACATCTAGAAAGAGATAACAGTTTATATTAGACCAAATAGTGCCATCAGAAAAAGGGAAAGAGCAAGCTTTCAGGGCACACAAGCCATTTCTCAAGCCTAACATTATTCAAGCACACACTGGAAAGTATTACTCTGGGTGCATTCAGCTAAGGGGGAAAAAATAGTTCCAAAACTCAAAACTAAATTTCCAGGAGCTTAGTTTGCTTACCAATATGTATAGTATTACAGAATAAGTGAAATTCTGACCTAAATTATGAGTGGCTTTGATAGTACACTAGAAATTTCTTCCTACCTTAAACATGTCAAATTCATCACCATTTCTTTTGCCTATTATTCAGAGCTCAAAATGCTGAAAGTAGCAACAATTTCCGAATAAGGATGCAGATAGGCACTTTCCCTTTCTTACTTCCGAATCTCTTACAGTTATTCTCAATATCTCCTAGCTTATTAATATAATTTAATGATATCCAGAGCAATTACCCACTTTAATATTTGCTCTGTATCAGGCTTAAAAAGGGCTTGAGAGCTTCATCCATCTGTTCTTTTCAAATTATGTCATGTTGCCCAACTTCTAACCTTGTCTAGTGCAGCCACATAAAGTGCTATTAATTTTGATATGTTCTTTATAGTAAAAAAAAACATGTTCAGTGTTCAGCAAAAAATCCATTATTCAATCAGAAAGAGAGGGTATGATCTCACTATTTACATCTTGCTAAAATGTAATAAAAGCAGTAAAAGAAAAGAAGAAAAATTCAGAGATAAACAAACATAAATTATTTTTACTGCTGTGCATTGTTTCAGAACCTTTCTCTATGACTGTCAGTACAACTTTAGAAAATATTTTTCAAACTCAAACAATATTTTTATTCAGTTATTATAATAAACACACTAAAAATCAGCATGATGTGCAAAATACTGTCATTTATATGCAAAAAAAAAATTTGAGTGTATTTTGATAAATCATTCTTAACTGGATATTTAATAGGGCAATTCTTAGTAAGTATTTCTTCTTACTAGTAGGTTTTTCCAGGGCAGAATCAAAGAATGACATAATATGCTGAGCTGGAAGGGATCCACCAAGATCATTGAAGTCCAACTCCTGGCCCTGCACAGGACACCTGAAGAATCCCACCATGTACCTGAGAGCATTGTCAAAAAGTTTCTTGAATTCTGTCAGGCTTAGTGCTGTGACCACTTCCCTGGGAAGCTGTTCCAGTGCACAACTGCCCTCTGGGTGAAGAATCTTTTCCTGCTATCCAGCCTAAATCTCCCCTGACTCAACTTCAGGTCATTCCCTCAGGTCCTGTCACTGGTCACCACAGAGAAAAGATCAATGTCTGCCCATCCTCTTGCCCTCATGAGGAAGTTCCAGACTGCAGTGAGGTCTCCCCTCAGTCTCCTCCAGGATGAACAGACCAAGTGACCTCAGCCATTCCCATCCAGACCTTTCTGCATCCTCATGGCTCTCCTTTCAATGGTCTCTATTAGATTTACACTTTTTTTTATGAAAGATACATTTGGTCAGGACACAAAACTGCCCCAAGCACTTGAGGTGAGGCCATCCCAGTGCAGAGCAGAGCAGGTCAATCCCCTCCCTTGCACAGTAGGTGATGCTGTGCCTAATCCCCCACCAGGATTGGGGGGTTGGCCCTCCTGGCTGCCAGGGCACTGCTAATTCTGGTTCAACTTGCCATTGACCAGGATCTCCAGGTCCCTTTCTCTGGCACTGCTTTCCATACTGTCATATCACAGTCCATCCATCCAGGGCTGGCCAGACCCAGATGCAGAATCCAGGATTTGCTCTTATTGAGCTTCATCTGCTTAGTATCAAGAAGAAAGGTGTGATAGTATCCACTCTGTATTATGTAGAAATTGAGCTACTTATTTCCAGGTTGCATGATGCAACACCAGGTACCCACCAAAATTCCTCTGTCACTCCCCTCCTCAGTGGTCAGGTGTTCCCTGACAGCATAAGGCTCATAGTTTGAGATAAGAACAGGAAATGATCACTCACCAATTGCCATCAGAGGCAAAACAGACTCGACTTGGGAAACTTAATTTAATTTATTACTAATAAAACAATGAGAAAAAAAAAATTTAAATCACCTTCCTTCCATCCCTTCTTCTCCCTAAGCTCAACTTCCCTCCCGATTTTGTTACCTCCATCCCCAACGGCACAGAGGAACAGGGAAATGAGGGTTTTGAATTTTGAAACTTGAAAGGATTTTGGTCTCCAATCTCTTTTTTTTTTTAAACACATGCATATAAAACTATGTATATAGTTTTATAAAACATGAATTTAAAACTATGTATATAAAAAGACAATTGTAGTAAAACATCTTACCACTCAAGGAGACATTCTCTGTTCCCAGGCCTGAAAGCAACTACATAAAAAGTACACCATTGTGAAAGGATTTCCTGAGGAAAAAAAAAAAAAAAAGGAAGGACTGTGAAGGGAAAATCCCCAGAAACTGGATTGTATACCACTTTATATCCAAGGCATCAGATACACCCTGAGGCATTGTACTACACTAAATCAACCTACATCTTAAGCGTCTCTAGGAAACCCTAAGAAGAGGAGCTCTGAGGAGCTCAGCTAGAACAGAAATTTGTAAAGTCCTCAAAATAAGTAGTGTTACAGAATTGTAGAGCTGTCAACTAATGCACTCTTTCAGAAAAATATGATTCTTCATACAGCCCTTGATGCATGTAATTATCTAGGATATTAGCTGCTTTCTATGACAGAAAGTGCACCTAACAAGGATTGGTTGCATTAACTGCAGACAAAATTTGGTTTGCCTCCTGTGAATGAACAGGTTTTCATTGTTGGATTTTTAAAATCTATTATTTTGAATAAATGCCCTATAAAAAGACAAATTTTTAAAATTATATAAATTTGTTTCAGTAATGTTGGATTGACCGATAGCAATGGATTCAAAGTACAAAACAGAAGCAGAAGTCTACCAGTGTGCAAGACTGTTCTGAGGAGCAGGAATCTCAGTGTGGCCACTGTACATGGCAGTAGCTCTGCAATGACACTGTATCATGCTCTGTTCAGGCTGAGGTGTCACACAGTTCTATTAACTTGTCACTTATTCACTTATACCTGAATTAAAACTTCTTTCTAGCACAAACATATAATGACAGTTTTAACACTTAAAAAAAAAGTACACTTCTGAAATGCTGAAAATAAACAGAATTTCCTTATTTATTCTAAAGCATGACAGGAAAACCTACATCTTGTAAAATTATCCGTAAGAGACAGCTGAATGTAAAAAATTAGCATTACATTTGATAGGTCAGTTCATCATTCAACTTTCTTTAAATCTTTCTATATCACTCTTCATCCATTTCCCCACTTGGTGTACCATTTAGGCAAAATATTCAGAAAGGAGAAAGCAATATCCTTAAGAAAATGAAACTTCAATATGCTACCAACAGCTAAGCTAAAGCTGTACCCACAGTGAAACTGTTCATCTTCCCTTGCATAAGAGTGTCAATTGTAATTAAATTCTTAAAGCCAGTATTTGCAATCAATATAGTGGGTGAAGTCAAGATAGAATGATAGCAGGACATTTTTCCATCATTTCCAACTCAGTGACCTCCTGTTAGAAGTTTTTAAAATGTGATATGGTTTCATTGATATCTCATCTTGCAACCTATCTGTTAGGATATGACAGACCACATTCTCATATCAGGAAAAAAAAAAAACCAAAAAAAACCACAAGCTGAAATATATTGGTAACAACCAATAGCTCAATGCCTTCAAATAAAGTATTTCAAATGAAAGATTTTTATATAGTCAGGAGCTAAAGTGGTTTTTTTCCCAAGTTTTATTTGGAGAGGCAGCACTCTTGTGGGAAAAAAGGGTTGTTATAGAATGCCCATTAGCACATAATACAATGTGCATTTTGCTAGGCTTACTTCTAATAAGGTTCACTACTTTTATAGCCTCAAAGATTATTTTTATTTTCCTGATAAACATTAACACATTTTTGTGGGGGTTAGTGTCTGTTTTCCTTCCCTAACTAATTCATAACCCGTGGAAGTCTTGCTTTTATCTCACTTAGCTAAAGACTTGATTACTGAAAACCATCAAGACTTTCCCACTTGGAGAATAACAAGAGCGACAGAGAATACTTTCTCGTTGTCTGGATCATATTAATTCACCATCACCCTAAGAGAAGAAAATGTTCAGAGATATGAGTTTATTTCCAGCACCAGTTCCCCACCAGTTCCAGTTACCCAGTTATACCAAGAACTGACATCTTTCCTAAGAACCTTTTTTTACTTTTTTTATTTACATAGTGCCATAGTTCTCATGTTAATATTTCCAGATGTTAGCATTTCCAGCCTGGCCTTTTTATTTGCAGTATTTGCATCTTGTTTCAAGCAGTAGAACTGAATATTTTCGCAAGTGCAAAAAGCAAAAGAGAAAGATGGTGATGATAACCCTGGGACATAGAATCCCTGATGTAAGGACACCAAGTGGCATCACTACAATTTCTTTGAGAAGAGCCGAATGACTATCACTGAAGGTGCTCAAGAATATATTATACAAACATTTCCTCAGGAATGATGTAGGTATACTTGGTACTTCCTTGAGGCAGACATATTGGATAGGTTGCTTTATCAGTTCACTTTCAGCCATATGATAGGACCCAACATGCTCCAAAGAGATGTAAAAAACATAGTCTGTAGTTATGGAAACTTGTGAATGTACTTGAAACTTGTAGAATGCAGTTGAGAAATGTTTTGTAAAAAGTCCTCTGTTGCCCAAAATTCTTTTTATTGAAATATATTTTCAAGGGAAAAAAAACCTGCTCAACTTTTTAAAATTATGGAGTAATCACATGGGAGCTTATTTATACCTATTGATTAATTGATTTTAAAGGCAGTGGTTTGCTTGCCGGGGACCTTGTCAATGAGAACACACAATAACCATTTTTCTAGCATTTTTGTTTATGTTTAATTATATGAAGTGAATATTTCACATGTGTCTTGTGTGACTGAGTATAGTCTATGTATGAAATGAATTTGCTAATCCTGCCTAATTAATAATTCACTTGGTGTAAGGTGCCTTCCTAAGGACTGCTGTTGTTTTGTTTATACATACTGTTCCACAAGCAACTCTGAAAAGAGAAACATAAAACTGGGATACAGCTGTGAAAGTTGATGGAAATCACAGAATAAAATCATGCAGAACTCAATTTTAAGAAAGAGTAAAGTTTATCTCAAACTTCAAATTGACATTCGATTTGTTTAGCATAGAAATTTGGCTTCCTTTTATTCAGATTGCTACAATAATATTATGTAGTCATTACCCAAATATTTCTTCTGAATAGGACACTTTGGGGTTGTGTCTGGAGGATTTTTTTCTCCTTTGATCAATCTGTGACCCTGAGAAGGGAAAAAAAGTACAAAACTTCATGCATATGCTAGTGCATTTTGTAGTGTTCTGCTTTTTCTGCATGATGCAGAACCAAAGAAAAAGCAGGACTGGTGCTGGCTGGGCCCAGGCCAGGGCCTCCACTTGTGTTTTTTTTCAGCTTTTTTGTTTTTTTCTTTTAATAACATTTTTGTCTCAGACAGCAGAGGTAGTCATATGTATACACCAATAGTGTAGGCCAAAATTGCTCAAAGAATTACCACTGTAACAAAAAAAACCCACAAAAAAACAGAACTATTCTCTAAAATGAAGTACATTCATGCAGCATATACAGCAACTTCTCCCTTTTGTTTTATATTTTTTTTTGTGCTTGAAGAATTAGCCTAATATTATAGAATATTACTTTTTAAGCAGTATTTGTCTTCCCTAGTATTCTCCATAAATCCCAACAAAAACACTTTGACAAAAAAAACAAAAAGCTTTAGAAATAATTTTTTTTTATAAGGCTTCAAGAAGATTTATCACAGCTTTTGAGCTTTTTGAAGCCGTAAATGGCTACGCATTTAACCTGCAAAATCTAATACAATTTTCAACAGAAAACCTAGAATACAATTTTAGCTTGACAAAGCAAGAATCTATGGATATATGTATTTCACAAGTGCTTTAAAATTACAGTAACTGCTTAGAAAGTGAGCTGTATAGGAAAAAATACAGTTCTTATGCTGTGTTATTCACATACATGTAAAAACAATATCTTTAATATTTAATACAGTGTCTCAAGAAGGAAAAAATACAAATATTTTAGGAACAAGGGCTTTTTAAAGAACTTAATATTTATCCTGAAAAAGGAAGAAAAATTATGATATTCATGGTAGCAATCATGCAAAAAACAAAGGGGAACAGGAAAGACAAATTCTGCAATTCTATTCACCAGTATTGTGTATGATATATACTTTTGTATTGTGTTTTATTGCATAAAATTACATCATTTTGGTTAATAGTCAAAATATAGGCCCTTCATGCTATTTGTCCAGAAGCCGTGTCAATACAGTTCAGTCTTTAGGCACTCCCCAAGAAAAACTGATTCACTGAAATGCCCAGTGGCCATTTTAAAGCAAAGATGAATTGTTGGAGGTGCACAGCCCAACAAACTTTCCCCATATAAAGACTGTTTACCTTAATATGAACCTGGGAAATTAGGTTTCCCTAGAAAGAAATAAAAACAAGCTCCTTGCCTTACCTAAACAATGAGATATAACTCAGTAGTGGGGGAGTAGAGCCTGGAGGCAGAGGGTGCCAGACAGCTCTGCTTACACCGGTACCTCACACCCTCACACACTTCACAGCAGCCAAGAGAAGTGTCCTCCTCAATCTGCTCCAGAAGAAAGTAGTGGTACATAGATCACATTATGAAAAAATTAAAATTTAATCTGATCTGCAAAACTTTCACTGGGACCAATCTCCTGCAAAGACTCTGCTGGTTGTCCCAGTTCATTCTTGAGCTTAGAGTAACAGGAAGCATAAACAATACTTCTATTCCCTCTGGTGCATTTTTTTTTTTTTTACCTCAGCAAAGAGTTGTATTTCTTTTATTATAAAGAATGTTCATTAATATTATGTAGCAAGAAAAATCCTTGAAGTTTTGGAACACATTAGGTGTCATAAGACAAAAATACTTTATTATAGAGTTCACTGCCTTAATTTTTAAAATAATTCATGCTAGAGAACCTCCAAGTATTCAGACTTTCCATATTCAGGAACACTGAGACTTGGCACATCCCAAAACCCTTATATTTAGTGAAGTGTAGTGTAATTTATGAGAAATGTAATTAATATAGTTGCACCATTTTATTAATCTATGGGTTTTCAGGTATAAAGTGGATGACTTAGAAGGATTTTTTGGTCCAGACATGAAAAACAAACACATTCTTCCAATAAATTATTATGCCTTGGTCCTTTAACCACTAAGCACTAAGATAAACAAGGAAATTATTATTAGAAATAATAGATTTAAATGCACTTGGTCTAC